GGGGCTAGGGCAGGGGCTTGGGGTGCAGGAGGAGGTTCACGACCGGGGTAGGGTTTCAGGATGTGGGCTTGGCTGACACATCCGAGCAGTACAGACCGGGGGGGTCCAGTAACACTTTATGGCCTGGGCTGTATTTCCAAGTCTCTCTAGTAGGCAAAGTGCGGCAGCCGCGCAAGGAAAGCGAAAGAGCTGCCTGCCCTGTTCGGGTCCCTCCTTCACTTTGCCACAGTGGGCTGGAAACGCCCAGGCCACTTCTCTGTTACCCAGAGTTGCTGGTTGCCACGGAAGGTGTCACGTCCTGCCCACGGACACAGAGCGGAACTGGAAAATGGACAAAAGACTTTGCTGGTTTCTCTCCCCCCCCCCCGAAGAGGTGCTGGCAAGGGAACTCCTCCGTCAGCTGAGCTTGCAGCTCACAGCACTAAGGGGAAGGGAACAAAAACCCCTAACAAGAGGGAACTAGACGCTGATGCTGCTTGGACTCTGGGGGGCACGAGTTAGGAGGCATAAGCAAAAGACTCCCCGTGGTTAGCCCTACAGGGCAGTATGGAAGATTGGGTTGCCTTTTGAATCTGTTGTGAACCCAGACCAGCTGCCGCCACACTCTAATGCAGGGCAGGTATGCAGGGCTCTGGATAAAGAAACTGGCCGAGACCTCTGCCATGTACTCAAGGCAGGCACACACCTGAGGCTAGCTACCAGCTTGCCTGAAGGAGCAGGCTAATCAGACACCTGTGGGCTGCTTTCAAAGGTTTCCCCAGGTGAGGGAGGGGGAAGGAAAAACGTGGAGGCCGGGGAGCTGGGTTGCTGGAGAACTGGGTGAGAGCTGAGAACTGACGTGCTCGGGTACCAGAGGAGAGGTCTGGGAGGGATCCTTTGGGGAAGTGGCCCAGGGAAGCAAGCTGCCAGATGGGGAGCAGAAGTCACCCTGTGTGTTGCTGCTATGATAGGGCCCCTGGTCTGGAGCCTGGAGTGGTGATGGGCCCAGGTTCCCCCAATCCCCCCCAATATAGAGCCTGCCCCTGAGAGGGGAAACCGGGCCCATGGGGTTCACCCCGTACTGTGGACTAGCCTGGGACCAGGGTGGCTCAGTAGGCCATGTGGAGGGCCGTGCTGGCTGCCACGGGGCGGGAGCTTGGCCATGCTGTTTCCCTGTGTGAACCTTGTAGTTACTGCTCCTTTCCCATTCGGTCTCTGTGGTTCGTTACAGGCCTGGCCGCGAGCGCTGAGGTGCAGCTGAGCGGGGGTAAGTGCCTGCCCTTTGGGCGCGGGAGGGAGTAGCGCTCCTGGGTCTGTGGGTGCCAGGGGCCATCTGTGTCCTGAGGTGGTGGGACAGATCGGCATCCCCCAGGGGACTGTCCGGGGCTCCCGGGGCCGGCGTCATGGCGCTGAGGCGTGTACCTGTGGTGACCGGTTGGTGAAATCAGCGTCTAGGGCTGACGGCCCTTGTGGGGCGTGGGCCATGGGTCTGACGCCGGCACTCGTCTGCTGAGCCACTGCAGGATGCTGACAGCCCGCGGCCAAGGCTCCCTGGTGCGTCTCTGCGGCAGGGCTCAGGCTGCCGTGAAGGCGCTCAGCCAGGAGAGGGGCCACGCAGAGTGACATGGCTGCTGAGCTCCACGTGGAGCCTGGCTGTCTTGGCTTCCCATGTGCCAGAGCAGTTAGTGCCCGGGGCTGCTCTGAGCCGGCCCCCGTCCCGCCGCAGCTCGGGAGGGAGGGACACGAAGGGCCGAGCCTCGGGGCGCGGAGCAAAGCGCACACTGGTGACTGCAGACTCCGCAGTGTGAGTGGGGTGTGAGCCGCAGCCACGTGGCTTGACTGACTCCGGACTTGGGGAGGGGTGACACCCTGCCTTCGCCAGCCCCTGGGTGCAGCGCTGCCCAAGGCCTCACTCATCTCCCTCCGTCCCCGGGGCCAGGGAACATCCTGGGAGTGCAGGGGGCCCCGTTACAGGGGGCATGCAGGGGTGCCCTTCCTATTCCTGGTGCCCTACACAGCCCGAGCTGTGGGCAGAGGGAGGGTCACCCGCTTCGTGGGGGGGTAAGCTGCTCTTCAGGGGGCTGCAGGGGCAGGAGCAAGGCAGGGAGGCTGACGGGGGTGGAGACAGGGTGGCCTATTGGCAACTGGTGCTGGAGGATGGAGCGGGACTCCCAGCTTTACAACTCAAAGTCTGGAGGGCCCGGGGAGGCATCCGAAGGGGCCCATGGCCAATGTCACACCTGCTGGCAGGGGAGCTGGTGGCAGCTGATGAAGAACATAAGAAATTAAGAATGGCCATATTAGGTCAGACCAAAGGTCCATCTAGCCCGGTATGCTGTCTGCGGACGGTGGCCAGCGCCAGGTGCCCCAGAGAGGGGGGACCGAAGACAATGATCAAGCGATTTGTCTCCTGCCATCCCTCTCCAGCCTCTGACAAACAGAGGCCAGGGACACCATTTTATCCCCTGGCTAGTAGCCTTTTATGGACCTAACCTCCATGAATTTATCCAGCTTTTCTTTAAACTCTATTATAGTCCTAGCCTTCACAGCCTCCTCTGGCAAGGAGTTCCACAGGTTGACTACACGCGGTGTGAAGAAGAACTTCCTTTTATTAGTTTTAAACCTGCTACCCATTAATTTCATTTGGTGACCTCTAGTTCTTATATTATGGGAACTAATAAATAACTTTTCTTTAAAATCATGAGTGGTGTGGAGAGGGTGAATATAGACCTCTATCATATCCCCCCTCGGTCTCCTCTAAACTGAAAAGTCCCAGTCGCTTTAACCTCTCCTCATATGGGACCCGTTCCAAACCCCTCATCATGTTAGTTGCCCTTTTCTGAACCTTTTCTATTGCCAAAATTTCTTTTTTGAGGTGAGGAGACCACATCTGTACGCAGTCTTCATGGTTTTATACAGGGGCAGTAAGATATTCCTTGACTTATTTTCTATCCCTTTTTTAATAATTCCTAACGTCTGGTTTGCTTTCTTGACCGCCGTTGCACACTGCGTGGATGTTTTCAAAGGACTCTCCACGATGACGCCAAGCCCTCTCTCTTGGGTAGCTGTAGCTCGTCGTATGTCTAGCTGGGGGTATTTTTTCCAATGTGCATCACTTTAAACTTATCCACATTTAATTTCATTTGCCATTTTGTCACAGTAGCCGTCCCTCGGCACCTGGAACATGCAGGGCCTGCAGCCTGGTCGCCCTGGGGCTGGAGCGAGAATATTCTCTGCAGGCCTCAGGCAGGGGCAGCCGGACAAGGCTGCCTGAGGCAGGACTAGTGCCAGGGCTAAGCAGGCCCCAGGGTGGAGGAGTTGGGGGTCTCCCTCTCTGGGGTCCGAGGTGCACAAGTCTGTGGCCAGCCCAGGAACAGGCCCGGTGAGGCTGTTTCATGCTCTGCTCACGTCCCCCCGCCAGAAGTAGAGCTCTGGGAGCTGCTACCGGCGCTCTGGGGGGCTGGTATTTGAGCTGAAAGAAGAGCGGAGGAGGTGGCTGGTG